CTGGGAAATCAAGTTGCTTTTTTTGGCCATGGTCGTAAATTAAACAAAATGGGTTTGGCTATGGGACAACATGTGAGGGTGGGATGCTGGTCAGGCCCACATGGTCAGGTGAGGTAGAGCACAAGTCATCCTAGAGAATCTAGGTACCACGAGGAGAGAAAAGGAGTAGAAGACCCTTAAATCTGTACTTAGAAGCTTTCTCAGTTGTGCAAAGTCACAACCTGGTGGGGGTGGAGGATGGAAAGTTTCACAAAAGCTGTCCAAGCAGCTGATCTGGAGGAAAAACACTGAGACCCCGGTGACTTCGCACCATTGCCCTGATCGATTCACAGGTTCACGCAGTGCTTCCTCCGCAGCCTCGCTCGCTTCCCTGAGTCAGCTCACATGAGAACCTACAGGCTCCCTTGACTATCATTGCAAAGAAAAAGTAGAGTATGTTCAGATTCTGATTCAGGCAAAACAAAATTCTCTACTATGTGTCTTTATACGAGGCAGCATTTTAAGAAACAGGTAACGGTTGCAGGGATGTTATTTATGCAACTGCAGCCACACTATCAAGTTATCATATTAAGAAAGTCAGCCATAGCGTTTTAGCCCTGTTTTCACTTTCTCCCAAGTAAATTTAATAAACTTTCCCCATAAAAACCTCATAAAAATCTGTGGTGGAGAGATGAATATTTTGTGCAAAGTACAATAGATGGAGAGAATGACTCAGAGCCAGCAAAGAAGCTAGATCCTAGGCACAAAAATACAAAACAAGGTCAGCTTACTTACTGATATGATGCGTATCTAATTCACAGCATGGAAGCACAGGCTTCCCAATGGGCCTACCCGCTTCTTCCCAAGAACAGCCTTGCCTGCCTAAAGAATTTAGCCACTTATTTATGGATGGACTTATCACTGAGAGCAACACCTTTTGTTTCCCACCAGGTAAAACACAGTTTGGCCTTTTAAACAGACATATACATACACTAGGAGTCAGCACGCCTGCTCTCTTGAACTTGCATCTGTTTTTATGTCAAACACTTGATTTCTATAAATCAAAGGAAAGGTGAAAATACCTAGCTGCACTCTGGTGCTCAAAGGGTACCCATAAAATCTACACCCAGTCCCAAAGGTATAGTACTTGATCTTCCTCCATGATCCGTATTTGAGACACGAGCCGTTACCAGAATGACTGGTATCAAATGCAATTCGAGTTCATACAATTCCTTCAGTCCTGGACATTTTTAGGTGCACCACTATGCAGGAACCACCAAATGATCTTTCTATTCTGAACCTATTACACTTGCCAATGAAAACAAGGATGTGCGTATGAACCAGTCAAAATGTGAGTCACACCAAGTTCTAGGCAGACCCAAAACCGAAGTTCAGTCGTTTGCATACATACATGCACCCAGACTACTCAGAGTCCAAACCCACATTTCAGAAATAGAAACTCTTCAAGGGGTACCAACTAGTACGCGTTTCACTCAGAGCCCCATCATCCCCACCTCCCGCAAACTGCCTAACAAGAGTGCAAACTTAAAACTCGTGGAAGCACCCATTTTGTAATTAAAATCCAGATGTCTGGTGTTTTAGATCCTTCGAAGTGGAGAAAAACATTGAAAAAGACACCCCCAGCACTTGGCCATTTGAAACATCAACAAACAACCAACTGGCATCAATAATTACTGTATTTAAAATAAACAACATAAAAGAAAGAGTCTTTTTATTCTGTAGGGTGGGAAGTTCAGTTTAGTTTTTTTAAAGCCATTCATTCCATTTAATGATGCATCAATCTTTGTGGTGGTGATAAATGTGACAAAAGCTGTAGGCTTTTTGACTAGGAAAACGCTTCTGACATGCACTGTGATGAGTATAAGAAACAAATGACATAAAACACTACAGATGCAAGGAGCTGCACAAGCCCAGAGCAGTTTTTGGATAGCGTCCATTTTTGGACAGTTTGACGACTGATTTAATTGTGAAAATATCAACGTTTAGCTGAAGGGAAATGCTGGCCAGAGAACAGACACTTTGTTCCCTTTACCCCAAACACCAGGGTCACTAACCTTAACAGCTTTATCCTCATACCAACCCCATCTGTTCCACTGCGATTAAACAAATAGTAACAATCATGGCTCCCTGAAAAATTTCACAGTTGGCTGCTCAACTATGATTTTTTTTTTTCTTCATTTCAGAACTGATATGAACTTCTAGGGAAATCTCTGGGAATGAAAAGTCATCATTACACAATATCTCTTGCCTGTTCCCACCTTGAAGCAATGTTTCTTTAATAAAGAATAAGGCACAGACCCATATGTGTACGGATGTTCATTCATTCATTCATTCACTCACTTATTCACTGTTTTGAAAAGGTAATTCAAACCAGGTCAGGAACATACAATTTTATCTTCGAAAAGACAGAACAATAAACGAGGCCTTCTGTGAGTTGACAGTTAGGAAAATGTGCCATTTGGGATATAGGCACTTTTAAAAATGGGAGATGAAAACACAAAAAGTTAGTTTTAATGTAGCAAATTAATAACATAATCTAAATTAAGTACAAAAATAAAAATTATTCCATGAATATGAATGAGGTTTTAAAAAGAAGTCAGCTAGTCAGTAACTGAGGGGGAAAAATGACCTTTTTCTTAGTTATCTCATGCTGGTACAGTGGGTGACAAAAAGATGACATAAGCAGTTAAGAGACTCCCCTCACCGCACTTGTTTCCCCAAAATGTCTGTGATGTCCTTGAAATTAGGCACTATTATCTAGAACTACATTGTGTACTGGATTTCAAGTCAACATCTGTCCACAAAGGCCACATTAGCCTATTTTTTTTAACACAGTTATCAGGACCATGATAGTTGCCGGTCAAAGAGAATTTAACCAAAACTTGATCCCACCTTTCTCAGTAACCCAAACATCTTTCAAACTTTGCCCTTTAAAAGTACTGTGTTTTCAGGGATGGTAGTACAGAAAAGAGAATATAGCCACTGATTCTGTAACATCTTCCTATATTGACAGAAAACAATGACACTAGTGTGGGTGAGGATTTAATAATTTGGGTAACTGTTGAACCACTGTGTTGTGTACTTGAAACCAATATAAGATTGCATATCAACAAGACTTCAATTTTTAAAAAAGTAGTTTTACTAACCCACATCTGCCTCATAAACATGGACCAAGAAGAGAAAAATTGGTTAAAATGAAGTATAGAAAATTACTGTTATTTCCTCAAACTGTGAATAAAATTTAAAGTTTTGGCATATTCATCTGAATTTGGCACATCGGGATGACATCCTAAAGATACTCTTTACTTCACTTGTTATTACAAACTGCCGTTTGAATACCCCATCAGCCAAGGCCCCAGAGAGCTCACATTAGCCCACGGAATTCCACATCACCTCCTCTTTCCTACTGAAAAAGTGCACTGGGAAATACAGTATGTTTTACATACTTCCTAGAGAACATAAAATAGAAAAGACTTGTTCACTATTATTTCAGAGCCATTAGGCAATTTGTTTCTCAGTCCAAAACACAAACCACAATTGAAATGTTCTAGCCCTTCAAATAAATCGCACCTTGCCTTTGCAAAAAGCCAGCTCTTTATCCACCCTGTACTAATACATTTTTTTTCTGGAACTAAGAATAATACAGACCCAGGTGTCTTAAAACAACAGCAAACAAAACACTTGTTTCCAGCTCTGAAACCCTTCATGTGGCTACAAAGAGGGAAAAACCCATCTATGAAGTCCAGTGCTCCACCCGTCCCATTAGATGTAACCTTGTGGCTTCTTTCCTTCCTTTCTTTAAGGAACCTGGGATGCAGCTTTTGGCTCACAGTGAAGACGCCCATTTCCTCCTGACCTGGCCACAGACGGACCTCACTTGCTGGAGAACAGAGAAACTTGACTCAGGAGTCTCAGCCCTATGTTTTTAAGAAAGTGCCTTAATTAAGCACTGATCAGGCGGGTTCTAAACCAGGTTCATGGAGTTTAGTCTTTTCCCCAGAAAGTCAATCACACCCAGTTAGTGACCCGGGCACACAAACTGTCCCAGCAGGAAAAAAGACAGGGCTTCAACAGGAAATACACAAAAATCAGAACTGTGCACTTCCACTTCCCAAAATATCTTTTCCTCTCCACAGGCAATTACTCTCCCTAAATACCAAACTTGGACGCAAAATCAAATCCTTCTTCTATTGCTCTCTGCACTTCTCATTGAAAGGAAGGATTTGTTTTGGTCCCACATGTTGAAAAATTCAGGTTCCTAAAATCATCCTTGAAAACAAAACTACCAGCCCTCATCCTTTCCTCAAGCAGTCGCAGAAAACAGATCTGAAGATTCTCAGCAGCCTTCCTAACCTCTCCAGATGACAAATTTGGCAACGAAAGGGATTCCCAGTCAAAATGGAAGTGAAAAAGATTTGGAGTTTCAGAAGTCTGTCCCCAAGAGACTGGTTGTCCCACAAACTCATACTTAATACACCCCAACTGAATTTCTCACATCCTGACTGGACTATATAAAAGGATCTTTTTATGTTGATATATAAGAATAACAATGACATTCTTTCACTAAATCAATATATAATAGGCCACAAGGGAGATAAAAGAAAAAGAAATACTAAACTTTTGTTCTCTCTCAGCGTGATTTTTGAGTCGATATTTCACAAAGTTTTCGTGACATTCTTCAAGAACCCTCTCCCCACCCCCCACACACTTCTCTGGGGTTTTCAAGTATTATTGGGAGACTAGGGTGTGTGCGGGGCAGGGAGGGGTGTCTACGGGCACAGACAAGACTTGCATGTCTAATCCCGAAGGTATTTTTCGCATATAAGCTAGCTGGGAGCCCCAGCTGTTTATCTCCCCCCAGAAGTGCCCGTTCCCAGTGGGAAACAGGGAGTTGGGAAAGGAAATCCACCCGAGGCAGGAAGAGCGGCCGCAACCCCCGGCTGCAGCCGCACACCGGGGACACCGCCCGCCGGCGCCCGCGAGGAGCCCAGCGCCCTTACCTGGGGGTGCAGAGCCGCGGGCACGAGGCCCAGAAGTTCTGGGTCACGTCCGCTCCGAGCGCGCCGCCCGCGCCGCCCGCCCGGCTCCCGCCCCGCCGCCGCTCGGCGCTACACCATGCCGGGAATGCGGCCGCAGCGCCGGGCGCTGACATCACTCTCTCCCAGGTGCCTCCCCCCGCCCCGCGCAGCCTCGCCGCCCACCCCCCGGGCGAGCCAGCCAAACAGCGTCCGCGGGGGCAGGCCGGCCGCGCCCAGGCCCCGCTGATTGGGCGCGGGGACAGTCACTCAGGGGAGCAGCGCGTTTCACACAGTCGTCGCGGAGCCAGGCTCGGGCTGGAAGGGGCGGTCGGGGGAGAAAGCTGCCTCGCCTGCCATCTCCAAGGAAAGCAGATAATGGTCTGGGGGCGCGCCCTACGGATCGCGTCTCCAGCTTCTCTGGGCGTAGTTACTACATCCCCGGGCAGAAACGAAACCAGCCCCCCACCCCAAAGCCCCCTTTAGGAAACACAACTGCGTCTGTGTCACAGGCTAGTACGAGGCGGGCGGCGAGGGGGCAGAAAACGGCTAGCTGCCCGAGTCCTGCACGGAAGAGTCCTGCACGGAAAGGAGGAGCCGCTCCCTCGCCCACCCTTTATCTTGCGACTGCTGGGGGTTCCCTGAGACCTGCAGTTTAGAACTTCAAGAGCACTAAGGAAAGATTTGGACGAGAATCCTGGAAACCGCGCCCAGCTCTGAGCTGTGAGCAGGCGGCGTTGTCAACCATGCGGCAGCTTTTGCTTTTAGCGATGAAAATCACGCACACGCGTTTCCAGCGAATAAAACTGAACCCCTAGAATAAGAAAAACTACGATTTGTCTTTTTTAAGGACCTTAAGGCTGCTGTTTCCATGCACAACTAAAAAGGGCGGGGGGAGTGGAAATCTCACAACTGAGTTCAACAAGCCACATGAGGATAATTACTGTTTGAATAGAACCAGTTGCAGTGGCCAGCTATCAATTAAGAATTAACTAACATTTACCCCTGACGGATATGGTGCTGCTTAATCCCATGGGCTGACAGAGCAGAATGATTCTCAGTCTGCCTAGTACCTGATTCAAGGCAGAACTGTATGGTGAAAAGCGGCTCTATTTGTGAGAAAAAAGTGGCATATTTATCCATCATCTTCTGGCAGTACAATGAATTATTCATTTTGTTGGTTTTTATTGCTTGTTTTTGGATTGATGACAGCATGTCACACATTTCACTCGTCTGCCAAAAATTGTAGACGGATGCACAGAGTCCAGCATAGTGTCTCACTTAATCCTCACAACCAGCCTGTAAAGTGTCATTAGCACCATTTACCATAAGGAAACAAGGGCTCAGCAAGATTACCTAAGTAAATTGCTCCATAACACCCAGAATTTGGGTAGAAACCAAGGTCTGTTTGACTCCAAAGCCGCTTTTTTCTTCTTAAGATAGTGATTGCCCACAATCTACACTCATTCAAAGGCTATATTGCTAAAAAAAAAAAANTACAGACCCAGACCACTACTCTCATGGATCTACTTTATATTACCACAGTTGTGCTGTTTTTCACACCTGTACTAATCCAACCTCCTGACATAGTTCTGGCTCCATTTCCCCAGCCCTAAGTCTGTCTATGCACCCCTGCCAGTTGAGTTTTCTAAACACTATTTGCTCTTGCCATCTATTTACCTTTCCCACCCTATCTCCCACTTTGCTCCTGGGAGACCCTTTGGGGCAGACAAACTGGTGTCCTCGCAGATCACTGCTGGATTCCCACCTTCAGGCCTGCCTAGAATGCCTATGCTGCTGTGTGTGCAAGTCCCACGCCCCTCTCATTGAAACCCCTGTCCTCACTGTGTTACAGTGGACAGAAAAATGTGTGGCGTCCACTGCCAAGTTCTGCCACTTACTTGGTATGTTCACTTTGTGCAAGTCCCTAAAACATCCATCAGAAACCTCAGTCACCTCCTCTTAAAATGGGGCAATAGATCAAAGGTTATTGTGAGGGTTACTGAGATTATACAAGTGTGAAAACATATGGTTAAATGTGTCCAGTTTTATATTTCCTATCTTCCCAAACCTTGAAGAGCAAGCTTTATGCTAAATCTCTTTGTATTCCTTACACCCAATTCAAAGAAAAGACTCAATAAAAATACAGGACTACAGAAGGCGGACTATCATATCACAGCTAGTCCTGCTTCATTCTTTAAATGCACCCAAACCCCACATACTCACAGCCAGAAACCATAACTAACTCTCTCTCTCTCTTTATGCTTTGGCGGAGTCCTTCCCTTTTCCCACTTTCCCACCATTCAGGCAACAACCTTTAACCCCCTCAGATATTTTTTGCACCAACCACTTAACCTGCCCCTTAACAACTCATCTTTCCCTCTCCCTCAGAGACACACTCGTGGTCATGCCTGTGATACACTCTGCTACCCAAATGCCTTCTAACAGTGCCTGGACTGCTACCAGTCATTCTTCCAGCCTGGACGTAGGATGGCTGCGTCCGGGCTCACATTCTACAACCAGCAGCAGATGGGGGAGGGATTGACCCACCCCCGCAGGGATGGCGGGATAGAATAACAGGAAGTTGCCTCCCATCCCCTCTGCAGCTGGAGTGATAACAGCTGCCATCTGAGTCCGGAAAACAAAAGAATCAAAAGGAAAGCTGAAAACAGGCCAGGGCTGCAGCGGCAAGAGTTCATCCCCAGGGGTTCCAGAGTAAGTGAAGAAGGAAACTCCTTCTCTCCATTCCCGGCTTTTCCCTCCCCCTTAATCCGAGTTACAGCTCTTCTCTGTTCTCTGTTTAGCTTTCACCATAATGCTTCCTTTTAAGAAGAGGGTCTAACACATAAATATGTTGAAACCGCTGGCCTGTGGGTATCTTGGTAGCCCCAGAGGGTCAGAGCAATGCCACAGAAGTGAAATGGGATGCCTGATGAGCAGATAGCCAGCCTACCCACTCTCCTGGACTCTAGCTGGTTTCATGGAAAAGTCCATTTACGACATCAATGGTTTCAATACTAATTATCTTGGTAGGTCTACATACCTATTTTCTGCCCAGCTTTTTTTATTTTCAGTGTAACCTTCAGTACCTATAAATTAAGCCAGAAATTATCACTATGGGGGAGGAGAAGGAATCCAAAACAGGAGAGAAACCGTAGAGAATAAATAGGAAAAGAGGAACTTGAAGTGGACCCTGAAATTCATCTGATGCAACCATCTATCGGGTGCAAGAACTCCCTACAGGATGGCTGACCAGCAGCCTTCTATCCCTGCTTGAATTTTTCTGTCAACAGAAGCAGTCAAGCTGGAAGAGCCCACCACCAAAGAAAGATCTTTCTCCTAGCAAGAAGATCCTGCTCTTCTGACTTTTTCCCACAAAGACCTCTGTCTTGTGTCTTATTTAATCCTTGCAACCACTCATTAAGGTGAGTGTTATTAGCCCTATGTCAACATAAGGAATCAAAGGCTCAGCAAAGTTACATAAGAAAATTGCCCTAGAAACACCCAGACTGGGATTGAAACCAAGATCTTTGACTGAAGTGCATTTTTTCTTTATGTGTCTAGAGCTCTGATTTCCACAATCCCTGGAGTAATAGGGAATAGACTCTTTCCCAGGCCTGTGCAGGCACAAGGACACACCCCCAATTAATTAGTTTAGACGCAGACACCAGGAGAGGGTCACCTGGTTCATCCAGCTCATGTCATTTGCCTATCTGGCCTTCACAGGCTCCCAGCTGCAGCTTTCCAAAGCGCAGTCCAAATCTCTCCCAACTCCTTTCAAAACACCTGAAGGCCTCGCTTTACAAAGGAACAAAGCCCAAACTCTCTCAACTGGCATTCAAAGGCCCTTACATCCTGGCCCCCAACTTACCTTCCCGAATTTATCATCTCCTCTTCTTCATACTCCCGCAGGGTGCAGACTGAATGATTTTGCACCCATATTCCCTAATGATGTTTCCTCAGTGGAGGATGATTTTTGCCCATTTCTAAAATCTCCCTCACAAGGTGGTTGCCAGGATCTAGTGAGATGCTTGTGCGGGAGGACAGAGCACATTGCCTGACACATAAGATACCAGTAAACATATTTTCTTTTTTTTTATGACACAAAACAATTATGCAATTATTTTTATACGTGGCTTATATCCCTCACTGACTATACATTTCTTATAGTCCCTGAGGGCCACATGCCAATTTGCTTCATTTGTATGTCCTTCAGGGAATCTAAAACCATGCTTTGTCCCATACACATTCAAAAAAAATTCACTGAATGAATGAATGGTGTCTTTTTCTTAAAACTCCACCCTGCTAGGGCTAGATCTTTAGAAGTTCAGGAGGAACCTGAGCAGAGCGATCTTAAAGGATCTGTTGTTCTCATCCCAGTCACATGGCTGAACACAGAGTGAGTTGAACATGTGGCATAAATCATGAACCCAAATTCAAATGAAACAAGTTTAGCTTTACAATTCCTTCTAAGGGAAACTGCTGCTTGGGCTGATTCTAAGCACAGCACTGGTGATGACCCAGACACCTTTTTAATGTCCTTTAGTTGGGTACTAAGCCACTACTCAGCTATCACCACTGACCTCATTTGTGAGTCCACCCCTCATCTCTATTCCCTTCCTGCCCAGGAAGACAGGTTAGAAACAGGTCCAGTATCTCGCTCCAAGCAATCTTATTTTAATCACTCCTTCTTGGCAACCCAAACATATGGACTATTGCTTTTCATGGTTGTCTCGCCAAAGGGTTTTGGCCCCAGGCAAGTTCACTCTTGATTCGGTGAAACTAAAAAATGGTAATGGAACGTTCTGGGGTGAAAGGGATTATATACCCAGATTTACTCCCACGTTGCAGGTCAAGCACTAGAATCCCATCTGCCTCAGGGCAAAGTCGGCTTGCAGCAAGGCGGTCCCTGTCTCTGGGCCTCTCTGCCCCCTGCAGCCCTCTCAGTCTCTGTCCTGGGCACTGCCACCACTTCAGCCACTGCTCTCCTGCAGCTGGCAGCCCAGAGCACTGGGCGGAGCTCTTATAGAGAGTCAATAATAACATAGTGCCCACACGTGCCAGCCGACCAGGGTCAGGTGAGAATCCTGCCCAAGGAACTTTCATTTTCTCTACAATGGTCTTTGATTAATGTTAACTTAATGTCTAAACTAAACACATTTAACTCCCTTAAGCAATTAACCACTTCCTAACAGAGTTAATCGAATTTCCTAACAAATATATCTGATCCCTACACTCTGAGAAAGGCCAACAGGATGGAGAGTTAGCCCTTTCTACACATACCAGCAATTCCTTATTTTCCACCCCATGCAGATGATCTACATAGCATTCTTCCAAAGCAGGCCAAACCCGTCCGCAGGACAACAGGCCTTTTCAGGGGAGACAAATCCCTGCCATTCCTCCCTGCCAATATGCGCTGTGCACAGACCTCTTAAGAGGTGCGGGGAACGTGCTCAATCAACAACAGGGCATTACTCATAACCAGTAACTCCCACTTTGATTTTTCCCCTGCCACCACATTGAGGAAAGCTCATTTTTCAAATAATATATCATGGCTCACTATTAATCAAAATCTACCCGGTTTCACATTGTGGTGCACCCCAGTCCCTGGACCCCTGCCACGTATGTTTCCCGGGCCCAGGCCAATCCATTAAGTTCTACTCCACTCACCTTTTACCTGAACAATCATTGACTGTTGCTTTCTTTATTCAGCCTATCCTAATCCTTAACTAGAATTCTTCTGCTTAACTAAAAATTGCATTTTAAAACTGCATGTTAGATTTCAACCAAGAAACTTCTAAGAGGACTAAGAACATTGAGTGTTAGCTGAAAATAGATATAAGATGAAAATGGGACAACTGGTGTAAATAAATGCTTTCATTAAAGGAATTTTTCTGGCAAGTCGAAACAAGTTGCTGAATAACATATCTTCAGGCTAGAACATCTTATCTCCCAAATCCTATAAAAATGAGGTTCTCTGCTGTTTTCCCTGCCCCTCCAGATTCTATCTCCAGATAGGCCTTTGTACTGAAGGATGCTATGGAGCTTCTGACTTGCCAGGTAATTAGTACTGTGGTTTGTTAAACTAGCTGGGGTATTAAGTGAACACAGAGAGTGTCACAACTATCAAGTATATCTGTCAGTTAAATGCTTTGAACTTCTTTCCTCCTACATCCCTTTGGATAATTTCCCATGTGACCCCATAGTGCTTGAATTCTGATTTAGATATAATGTAATAGTCATAGAACATCCACCCTTTTACATGGCAAGATGCCATTTCTGAAAAAGATTGTCACCTATTCCTAAATAAATGGAAGATAAGAAATAGCACCTCAACTCTCTGTCTCTGTGTGTCTGTCTCTCTGCTGCCCTCTCCCTCTCTTTGTCTCTGTCTCTCTGTCCCGCTGCTCTCTCTCTCNCCCCATCCCCACTCTGGGGCAGCCACTCTCTCTTTCAGATAATAAAGTCTCTTGCGTGGGCCTGTGTCTCCTGAGTCATTCTGGGTAAGGAGGGCCGCGGCAAGATACCCTTTCATTGGTGCTGTGACTTCGGATGAGGCTCTCCCATTGACTTTGGTCTTCCTCCAGGAACCTGAGCTGCTTTGGGAACCCTCACTGCCCGATCCTCCACAGGCTCACCGTCCATTTTCCCGGTCGCTCATCTTCTCGCCCAACACCAGCCTTTGATTTGGTGAGTCTCCCCTTCATGGTCAACTTAAATGTCCCTTTGGAACCTGGGAAGTGACCGTTGAGTGTCCGGCACCCCCAAGGGCTCCTCTGGGACAGGGGCACCCCCAACCACAACTTTCAGAGTCACTGTTGATCTCCATAGTCGACCCTTCTCTGCCTCCCCATGGTGAGAATCCTCATCCACTGAGGCCCGGTCTCCCTTTATGTACGTTTCTACTTGACTCAAAAACTCCTGGTACCAGGTACTGAGCCTCCCCGGCGTTTTCACCTCGACCCCACAGTTAGAGGTGGTGACAACCCCCTAACTGTGCCTAGTCTTCTCTGTGTCCTTCTCAATCGCTCAGGGACGCCTCAGCGACTTCTGAACAGTCTCGTTCTCACCATGGGATCTGGCCCCTCCGTTCCCGCAGATTCACCACTGGGGTGCTTACTCAATAATCTAAAGCCCCTCCACCTCACTCCAGACCTCAAACCTGTTCGCTACTGTAATGAGATCTGGCCACAATATCCCTTGGACAATCAGTCTAAATGGCCCCCAAATGGCTCTTTAGATCCTAAAATTCTCTGCAACTTATACAACTTCTGTGAGCATACGGGCAAATGGAAAGTGATCCCATATATCCAGGCTTTCTCCTACCTCTGAACTAAGCCCTCTCTCTGTCCCTCCTGCAATCCTAAACACCTGCTACTTGCCTTAAAGTCCACACCCCTAAGCTTTTTTCACGTTCCCAGATATCCTCAACTGCCTATAAAACTCCTAGACAATGCACCACCGCGGGCTCTCTTGTCCCCTCCTGGCTCATGCCAGGAGCTCTGTCTGTCCTCTCACTGTTCCATTACGTCTCAATCTGTATGTTTGTGTGTCTAAGTGTGTAAAAGAACAATATTTTTCTGTCTCATTAATGCTAATTTCAGTTGAACTGAATAGACATGTCCTTATGGTTATCAGCTGCCTAAGTTTACCTAAAGTCATTTAAGTTGATGGTATCTGTTAAATCTTTCAAAGAAAAATGCTTAAAGTGAAGTGTAGCTTTGTCTAATGTGAGTAACTATTTAAGCAAGTGCCTTAAAACTTTTAACAGCATCCCAGAATCAAATGCAAGTGCTTTTACCTCTAGTTAACTCTGATATTTTCCAGAGGGCCCCTGGAACATGTCAGAGGAATTTTTTCTCATTGGAGAAAGTATTTGGCTAATTTGGCTTATTTACCTGATTAATTACCTAGAAGGCACTGTCACAGGGAATTATGCTAAACTTTGTTACTGAATGTTTTATGTTACAGAAATATCCAAATTTCCTTATGACAACTGTCTTACAGTAAGCTCTCATCAGATCTTTAACCATTGTCATTTGTAAGTCTTTTGTCATCTATACTCACTGTTTTATTACTCCTAAACTAGTAAAAAACTAGATTTCAGCAGAACAGGTATTAGTTACATAGGATTAAGTAAACTAAGGAAGATAATTTTGTGGCTTTTGTTTCAAATGTTGTTGATAAAGTGTTTTAAGCTTTTTCTCTTAAGCTGACAACAGTTTAGTAAATGACTGCCTTTATAAGCAGAATTGAAACTTTATCTTTCCCTCTACCTGATCCCTCCAAAATTTAAAAACTCTCAGTGACTACTTTTATATTTCATGGCAGTATGTTTATTTGCACAAGTTCAATAAGAATCTGCTTTCCTTGAAAGAGGACTAATGAAAAACACTGGTTATATTACCAAGGCTTTGACTGGAACGTCATACCTGAGAAACACTCGTGTGTAAACTCAGATATGAACAGACAGCTTTAAGGAACTAAGATTGACTTTATAAAGCCAACAAAGCCCCTTGGAAGAACTGGCCTGGTACCTTGCTTACAGAGTTCCCAGCAGCCTTACCAGGTGAGTAAGGAAGGTCACTTCCTGGCAGGTGCAGGAAGAGAGGAATTCACCCAAATCTACAGGTACTGCAGGCACAAGCTGCTGGCAAGTCTGGCTTGGCTTTCTGGCCTCAAGAAGCCCTTAAAAGTTCAATCTGAAATTCCTTACAAAAAGTTCCAGCAAAGCACATTTAAAAGATCCCATGTAATCAATTACTCTTCTTGCTGCACTTATGCAAATAATCAAGCCAACTGTTAATTATTTTCTGAATCTGGATACTTCTAATAAAAATGAGGGTGATTTTAGAGAAAAGTATTGTTTCAATAATGCTGTCTTATCTGTACTAAATCCTAATACTACTCATTGAGATGTAAACTCGATCCAGAATTCTCGTTTCCCCATGAAACCTGGCTATGGCTCAATTAGACTTTTCATATTTCTAGTTCTCATATTCAGCCATGCATTCTTAATCTCGTCAAGTTTGTCCTTCCAGAATGGAAAATCCAACTCCAGATGTTGCTACTTAACCTAATAACAATTTGTTCTATCTTGCCTAAAAGCCACAAAACTGCAAATAATAATATAAATGAAACCCGGAATAGAAGTGCCAAGCTTCCGAGGCCCTCTCAACTGACCAGTGATGGAGACCTAGCTGCACCCTTTACTGCACCCCCTCTCAGCATGAAGCAGCCAGAGCGGTCATCACCCCTTTTCCCTAGCAGCAGCTAGGGTCTCCATCTGTAGAGGGGAGAATGAGACAGGGGCCATAGGTTTAGAATAAGGTGAGAGCCTCTGGAGAAAGCAAGGCAGGATATTTGCAATCAGAGCAATGTAACTATATGGTAGGAAACCGCCCACTACTAAAACTGTTGAACTTTCTTCAGTGAGATCAGTTAATGTTCCCCAGATAAAGAAGAGTAGTACATGCTTTATTATGCTAATCATTTGTAATCGTGTATAAGATTCACTTTAGCATTCTAAAAGGCCCAAGCCTATGTGCTGTCTTTACTCCTTCAGATCTGACGAGGTAATTTTGCAAACTGAGCAACTAACTGCAGACCCAGCAGTAGACGGCATAGTAAAAGGCAGGATTCTTTAGCAAATAGACAATACCTCCGCCCACCTTGGGAGCTGAGCAGGCAGCCTTTTGATAATGCTCCCAGACCAAGACGCCGGTATCCCAGAGAAAAATCAAGGCAGGAGATTCCTATGTTAAGTTCATTTTTAATATTCAGAGAACAACACTTCACAAGTTCTTCTCCAAGGCGTTAGAAATAGTCCCCACCTTTTGGACAGGCGCTACCACTAGACCTCAAATCCCTTACTCTCTCGAGCTCCACCCTCCTTCAATATGTAGATGATCTCCTCCCGTGCAGTCCCTCCCTACAAACCTCTCAACAGGTTACTATTCTCCTTTTAAACTTTCTCTCAGAACACAACTATCAGGTCTCACCCTCCAAAGGTCAGCTGTCTGCCGCTCAGGTCACATAGCTGGGAGTTCAGCTCTCCTCTCGCTACAAAGGGATTACCATAGACAGGAAGAAACTCCAAACCATGCCCATTCCAAACACCAAGCAACACCATCCCTAACTCCCAAATGGCAAAGACCATACACAGTAATCCTTTCCACGCCAACTGCAGTTGAACTCCAGGATCTTCCCCATTGGTTACACAACTCCCACCTTAAGCCATTTGTCTCAGTTTATTCCCCTCCCACCAAATCTCCCACAGGTTCCTACTCCTCCACGCTGACGGGACGTCTTACTCCCCGCATTTCGCGCTGCTCATGTCTGCTTCCACTCATCACTGAAGAAGTTTCTGCCTGCACAGAGTCCTAAGACCTCCCTTACAACAGCCATGTGTCATGCCTTAGGATCCTTAACCCTGGTCTCAACACTTACTCTCTCACCAGACCTATCTTCCCAATGCCAGCCCTTTCTTCTCTTTCAGACTGTCCAAAAGATTGCACCATCAAGGATTCCCTTTGCCCTACAGGTCGCTTTTCTGCCTACACATATTTCCCCCAAAATGCTATTAATTCAGCCACCCTATGTAAATGTAGCAACCAGCCCAAATGCAAAAAATTTCTAACCAAACCTTTAACCAGCTTATATTACAGGATTACCAACCCCTCTCCAAAGACGATGATCCTTATTGAACCAGGAAAATGCCATCGCCACTGCAGACCAAGGGCTCATCTGAAGACCGTCCCCCATCAGTACAAAAATGAACTTCATCGCCCCTAATCAGCAGGAAGCAGTTACTGAAGACTGACCTGCACCCCTTCCCGAATCCTCCACCACTTATAAAACAGAAAAGGGAGGAATGTAAGAATATAGTAATTTATCCCCCATTTGCCCCACGGTCCCAAGCACATAAGCCGGTGAGAATTATGCCTGGGCTTGCCTGGGGCTTGACTGGGTTTACCCCGCTTTATCTCTAAACATTCCGACCCTCCCCCAAAACAGCAGGCCTAGCAGATCCGCCACAATAAAAGGCACCACGCTGCTGCCCTCTCTCTGTTTCTGTGTGTCTGTCTGTCTCTCTGCTGCCCTCTGTCTCTCTTTGTCTCTGTCTCTCTGTCTCTCTGTCTCTCTCTCTCTCTCCCCACCCCCGCTCTGGGGCAGCCACTCTCTCCTTCAGATAGTAAAGTATCTTGCGTGGGCCCGAGTCTCCTGAGTCATTCTGGGTAAGGAGGGTTGCGGCGAGATACCCTTTCAACCATACATACAAAATCCTTTTTATGGTGCCCTGTAGAGGGGTAATCAGATTAAACTGTAAATGTAAATTCTTCTCAGGGGAGATGTTGGTACTTGGTCAAACCTTCCAATAAATATAAAAATAAATAAAAAAAAGAAAGAAAGAAATAGCACCTCTTCTTTGGTAAAATCCAACAAAGAACTGCATGGACTCTGAGTTATTATAAAACCTAGGGTCACTTGACATTTTTGAGTTTCCCCATCTATAAATGGGATGGCAATAATGCTAAAGAAAGAGTACTAAAGTAAAGCCATAAAACCCTGGATGTAGCTGCCCCCATGGCCCCTCGGACAGAGTGCAAAATTGTCCTCTATACACAGGATTCTCAGTTAACAGCCTGAGATCCTTGCCCCCTTGACCACATCGATTGGGCAAGGATTCCCACTTGAGTCAAAGACAGTCAAGTATAAACTTGCTAGCAGCCTGGGGCAAACAAGCATGGTAACACTTCAGCAGAGCTCCCTACAGAATAATCACTAAGTGGGCCCATCAAATCCTCTCTCAAGACATTGAATGTGAGATACATACAAAACCAGACAATAGACCAGAGCAAAAAGAAGCAGAGAGGCATACAGAATGAAAGCAATACCCAGAAGCATGCGCAAGTAGAAGCTGGAGGTACAGAAAATGAGATCAGAAGAAAGTCAGTCACCTAAGCAAAACAAAGGAAAAAGGGAGGGATGCACACACAGTAAAGGTACCAGTCAGAACCAGGATGCAGCAGATACATACATACCATCAGGCGCATGGAGATAGCTGCAAAAGTAATTGAAAGTATACCAACAATAATAAAAATGATAATAGGAAACACCCAGGTCTTGTGTCTGGTCCTATTTTAAATGTATTAAATGCCACCCTGTGAGGTCTGTTTCCATTTCACAGATGAGAAAAGCAGCATCATGCCCAAAATCACATGCTCGGAAGGAGCATGATTCCACCCTAAGCAGACTCAGCCAATCATGACTCAAGTTTGGCACTGGCATCTGTGCCAAGAGACAAGCTGAGCTACAAGAATGATCAGCATGTAGAGTTTCTGTTCAGTCCTTGAACATGTTCCAATTCTCAGGAGGCTTGACGGCTCAACGGTTTCCTGCATTTCCTTTATCTGCTGGGCAGTCGCACACTAAATCTTTATCACCTGAAGTAATCTGAACACTCTTTAATTCCTTTCCACTTGAAAGGGCCTGACTAATACTGGGACTTCAAATGAGATAATAAATGTGAGAGCATTTTACCTTCCCTGAAATAAATGGGGCAAAGTGAAGTGTTTTCATTCTGAAATGCGGTTAAAGTTCTGAAGATTGTCTGGTGATCAACATTAAGTTTGTTTCTTCGTCTTGCTTCTTTGTGACATTACCTGGGGCCTGCTTAGTCTGTCTTGGTAGTATATTTTGCCACATACAGCAGGAATTTTAGAGTGTATTAGTATTCAACATGTTATTATCATTACATGTTAATTAAATGTAATTACATTCATTACACGACCCGGTTCTACTTCCTTCCTCCCCTGAGCAACTATAATGAAGAGGCTATGATTATAGGGGCAGTGAACAGAGGCCAAAAGAAAAGGATCGTGAACATTGTCTCATCTTTCTACCACCTTTGTGCCTCAGAAGTGGCCAGATCACTGGGGTCTTGAAAATGTTTAGATTTATTCTAATTACGAGAACACAGTCAGGGCATATGTCCCTATCATCTTCTTGTCTCACTGAGAAATAGAAAAGCTTCCCTCCATCAGCACCATTTCGCTTCTATTGAGTGCATTTGTGAGAATGACCACCCGTAGGAGGACAGGCGCCGCTTTCTTGTAGGACCCATTTCTGAGGTTCTAAGCTTTGCTATCAAAAGGGTAATCAATAGATATCGTGAATCAGTGCTTCCATCATCATGTTAAGAAGGAAAAGCATTGGAGCCCAGGTTCAACCCTGCCTTAGGGGAGGGTGAATTGCAAAAAATTGAGATCTCCTGCAGTGCCAGCAGATGATGTAGAATTTTGTCTTGCACTAAAAATTATTTCCACATGAAGTTATTGTTTGAAAAATGCTTAGTGTTGGGCATTTTATTCTCACCCATTCAACCCACTGGCTTCTAAATTCTTTTAGAAGGTAAGAAATATGTCAAAGAAATTAATAGTGGCCTTCCAAAATGCCATGCAAAATCCCCTGATTTTCTTTACCTCCTAATAAGGATTAATCATATAAGGATCAGCTCTATTTGTCTTGTCCTATTTGACACATGAGGGTTGTGTTCAGTTGCCTTCCAAAGCCTTATTTATTTATAGAATAAAAGAGTCATATGTGTGGAAATAATAACACTTTTGTCAGGAAGTCAGGCAGCAACACAGACACTCCTGGGTCCAAATGCCACTTACAGTGGAGCATACTTCCTGGGGAGCAGACAGGAGAGAGGGAAGAGGAGAGAGAAATAGACGACCTTGCAGCAGAGACCCTAAGGCTATAAATAAGCATATTTTCAAACACTCTGCATCATTCACCAGAGCAGAATCTCTCAGCTCTGAAGTGTCTCTGCACCCCACCACCCCCGCCCCACGCTTCCACACTCTCTCCTCCCACTAACAGCTCATTGACTGTAAACAGAGAAAAAGAAAACAAGCTATTCTTTCCTGTGATCCTGCAACCCAACTGGGCACGACATCTAATGTTAAACTTCGACCACCTCCCTCGGTCACCCTTTCACCATATCTGAGAGCTTAGAATCTGGTTTCATCTTCTCAGCAACCCCGAAGGGAAGTGCAATTATCATCTCCACTTTGCAGATAAGGAAACTGAAGTCTAGAGGCAGAACTGGCTTCCTGGGTGGGAGATGTGTGAAGTCGCACAGGGCCCCGTGCTTAGGGGCCCCACACCTGTCTAATACTTGGCTGTTGCCATCTTGAAATTTTCCATAATTGTTTAAAAAGGGACCCCGTGTTTCTATTTTGCACAGACTACCACAAATTATGTAGTTTACCCTTCCTAGAGAGGCTAAGAAACTCCCAAGATCCCTCTATTAGTCTGCTAGGGATGCCGTAATAAGGTACCAAGTCCGGGTGCCACGGGCAACAGAAATTTGTATTCTCACCACTGTGGAGGCTGGAAGGCAGATCGCGGTGTCGGCAGGATCGCGGAGTTGCAGGTGCGCGCCCTTTCTCTGCGTCTTCACATGGTCTTCTGGATTAGGGCCTCCCTTAATGACCTCATTTTAACTTAATTACCTGTGTAAAGACTCCATCTCCAAATACAGTCACATTCTGAGATACTAGGGGTTAGGGCCTTGACATAGGGATTGGGAGGGCGGGGAGTGGGGAGACACCCCTCGGCCCATAACAGCTCCTAGCAGCCAGAAGGCAGGAGAACCCCTAGGAATGGCTGCATTCACTCTGCTCTCTGTGTCTTCACAAGCAGCCCCTTCACAGTGTCTCTTCCCATCACCAGAGGAAGCAGCAGAGGCATGGAAAGGTGGGCACTTGGGATCATGAAGCAGACGGCACACAGGAAACGTATTAGTGTAATGATAGCACTGGGCCCAAACTCCGAAGCTACTGCTGGGCCAGTACTGCCTTTAGAACCTACGCATGCAGACACCGCTTGCCGGAAAGCCTGTCCTCTGCGATTACAGGCTCGTGGACTGACTGCCTCTGGTAGATTTCAAAATAGCACGGTTGACTCTCCTTCTAGCCAGAAAAAAAAAATCATTACTCTTCTACTCACAAGTTATACAAAGGCACCTCTGTGGAGTGCATCCAACAGGCATGATGTAGCCTGTTTATCTCATTCTTTTGCTGGCTCCAGGCTGCGAGCGGTGAGCAGTGAGAAGTGAGTTTGTGGGAGATAACTAGGGAGTAAGGTAACTCATTTAAATGATAAAATGAGAAACCCATTTCCAGGCTGGACACGGATAGTGTGAACAGATCTGGAGTCTGGATGGAAGACCTGGGAGTATTATTATACAGAGTAGCAAAGGACTTGGGGGGCACCAGGTTTCTTCTTTCGAAGAACAGAGTTCTTTGGTGCCAGCTAGGCAGGAAAAGCATTTGCTGATCTCTGGTTCAGAGGCATGATGGAGAGGGGAGGCTGGCAGGTCAGGGACAGAACACTCTGGTCCTTGTCCTGGCTCTGATACTAACACTGAGCAGGTGACTTTACATCTCCAGACCTTAGTTTCTTTTCTAGGATATGATGCTTTAGAGTTCCATTCTACCTCTCACATTGAGTAAGACTGATAAGCTGTAGTAAGGGTTCTTTACACAAATGAGAGAACGTGACAGTTTTTCATTTCAATCAGTTCCCAGTTATAATAATGTGATCTTTTATAATTCATTATTTTTAAAAATGACATTTTCTGTTATGATTAGGAAAATCATACATCAGTGGAGAAACACCTTGGCCAGGTG